AATCCTTGAAGAATATGAATTTCATATTGAAGAGCCACTCAACAGTTCCAGTGACTCTTCAGACGACGGTCCAGCAAAGATCAAGACCATCGAACAACGGGCGACGGAAATTTTAAGTAAATTTCCACTACAACATCTCGATATAAAACCACGACAACAAATCACCGACATTGTCCAAGACTTCACCGACATCTTTCACCTACCTGGCGACAAATTAGGATGTTCTAATCGAGCAACCTGTAAGATTCCGACTATAACTGATAAACCAGTCAACGTGAAACAATATCGTTTCTCTAAACAACACCAGGACGAAATTCAACGACAGATTGACAGCTTGATGGAACAGGGTATTATACGGAACTCTAAATCTCCATATAATTCCCCAGTATGGGTTGTCCCAAAGAAAGCAGACCCTAAAACAGGAGTCAAGAAATGGAGAATGGTAATCGACTTCAGAGATCTAAATAAAATTTCCATAGGAGACGCATACCCATTACCTTCTATAGTCGGGATTCTGGATCAACTAGGAGATGCTCTCTACTTCAGCGTCTTCGATCTTGCCAGTGGGTTTCATCAAATAGAAATGGACCCCGAAGACGCCCACAAAACTGCATTCTCCACTCCATTCGGACACTTCGAGTACGCCAGAATGCCCTTCGGACTGGAAGGAGCTCCGGCCACGTTCCAAAGGATGATGAATTCAACTTTGAGCTGCTTACCATGGATATTAATCTATTTAGACGACATCATCCTTCACGCTCGTTCTCTAGAAGAACACGGAGTCCGCCTCAGACGATTGTTCCAAGTACTCCGAGATGCAGGGCTCACACTTCAACCAGACAAATGCAAATTTTTGTGCTCAGAAGTCGACTATCTCGGACATGTCATCTCTCGAGACGGAGTGAAACCTGATCCTAAGAAAATTCAAGCAATCCGAGACGCTCCGAATCTACGTAATCAACGATAGATGAGAAAATTCCTCAGCCTGGCAAACTACTATCGCCGATTCATCGACAATTACGCCCTTAGAGCTAAACCGTTAACCAATTGAACTCGAAAAACGAAACCTTTTAAGTGGTCCGAAAACGCCGAAAGGGCCATTCAAGACATCAAGAACGCCTTGTGCGAAAATTCAACTCTTTCATTCCCAGATCGCGACAAGCCCTTCATCTTAGCGGTTAGTTCCTCAGAACTTCTCAGAAGACAACAGAGCTATCTAATAATTTTTTCTCGCATATTCTATAAACTCACATTAAGATGATCCTCTCCACAAAGCACAGAAGATCTCCAGAAGATCTCTGAGTCAGAAGAAGGCATAGCAGGTATCCTGAGCCAAGAATTAGACTCCACTGACTCAGCAGAAAATTTAAATAAAAATGAAAAAATCGTAGCTTGCACATCCAGAGTCTTACGTAACGCAGAACTACGTTATACCCCAGACGAAAAAGAATGTCTCGCCGTTGTGTATACCATCCAGCAATTCTGGCCTTATTTATACAGTAAAAGGTTCACCGTTCAAACAAAAAGGGCCTGCGTAGCCTGGCTACGAGACACGCACGATCTCACAGACAGACAACGGAAATGGCGATCAAAAATCAACGAATTCCACTTCAAGATCGCTATCCGGACCAACGTCGGAGATCAATACGCAGATGCACTCTCATACAACCCAACAGGACGTCCAGAAGGAAAACAAGAGCTCCAAGAAAAGGAAGGAACGCCTAACGAGCCCTCTGGGATCACCAGTCAAGAAAACATACCAGAAGCCGTCTTGTTACCGGCAACAGGAGTTGAGAAAATCACAGCAAATCCTCTAAAACGCCGCCCTGGACGACCTTTAGGTTCGAAAAATCGACCAGCTCTCAAGAGCGCTCCAGAGATTCGACAAACAATTGCCTCTCGATTACGGTCCGAACTACGCAGAGGATCTCATAAAAATCCCACTAATTACATAGAACCCGCCACCTCCAGCAACGACGAGGAAGCCCAAGGGTTGGTTCAACATCACGTTGGAGAAGACGATGTGTTCCACACTCCAGAACCTAGAGGGGGGGAAGCTGGTCCATCTCTACCAGTTAGAGATTCAATTAGGGAAATAACTCCCCCGGCCTATTTTGACTCTGGTGACGATGGAGATGAAGAAGAAGAAGAGATCCCCGTAGCTCCACAACAAACAGAATTATCTGGAGAAATCACTGAATCATCCGGAGAAAATACTCCCAACGTTCAAAACACCATAAGAACGTTTGAAGAATTATCCGATGACCAAATCCACACCCCATCCCGACCTCCCTTATCACCAACAATCCCTAAAGGAAATCCCCGCTGGTGGAGACCAGTACCTGCGCCAAGTCCTGACGTAATAAAAGAAGTAAAAAGATCTATCGAAAATTTTCAACAAATAAGATCATTGGAGAAGACATTCAACGAAGAAGAACCCGGAGAAGCCAGCGAAGAAGCTGATATGACCATAAATGAGTTTATCTCGGAAGAAGCAAACGAGGACCGGGATAGTACCAGTGCCGTCAGTGAACCAGACGACACGGTGATCTTAATTCAACCTACAACAAAGAGGGCGGAAATTAATCAAGAAAAATCTCACACAGATGACTTATCACCTAGAACCGACACCACTGATACCACCATCCAACTAGCTCCAGAAACACCAACTTTAGTTCGTACAATGATAGAAAATTTTGAATCACAGGGCATCAAGTGGGATCCAGAGTCAAGATCAATAATCGACACTAGCGTTCACCAAGGGTCAACCCCGTATAGACCCATACCAGATCAATCTGTCATCACTCAGATGAGGACCAGACTATCGAAACTACCTACAATATACCACAGACTCACCTAACGCAAGTTCCAGCCGGTTCTTAGACTTCGGTTCTCCTGTAGCAACTACTTCTACAGCGCCCGAAAAAAACAGAAAAATCAACGAAGAGAGTCTCTTTCCTGGAACCTATACCTCAAACCCCGGGTATAACCGATAGTCCACCTAAGTCTCCGGAGTTCTCTAACGAGGAAGAAGACGCGACTTCTCGAGAAACATCCGTAACCCCAACTGCTCACCAAAATCCAGAAATTGCAACTCCACCGGCAAACAATAACTCTCCCACGCCAATATGGCCTCACGGTCCCGAGAGAAAAGCAGCAATCATCATAGAACCTCTAGAAACATCCTCCGATGAGGAAATAGTCCCAAATAATAACCAGCCTCTAAACAAAAACCTAGAGGGGGGGATGGAAAATCAATAAACCCGGAAGAATCAGTGTCAGATAGACCTGACGAACTAAGAGTAGTGGAACTATTAAATAGCCGAGATGGACTCACTTACGCTCGAGATAACATCGCTCACTTTATCACTACAGACTGCGAACTAGCCACTCCAACAGCAAAATTACTCCGTGACCTCAACTTCATCGATGTTGACGACCTGAAACAGGCCAAGCCGCGTAAAGGAGACGTTCTAGTGACAAAAATTGGCAAATATCGGGTTTTCTCTATCTTTGTCGGAGAATATCATCGGACTAAAATACCCAGTGAAGATTAAATAAACGGCCTCCAAAGCTTTCGTCTCACATTAGAACGTTACGAAATTCACTCCCTAAGAATGGCCCAAAGGGGAGATGGATTCGGTTCCATAAATATACAACAACACCTGCTGAGAGAACTACGAGATTGCCCCGTACAAATAACACTCTGTGACGGAGAAATCTCTGTACCAGACGAAGAACTACGACCCGAAATTATCAAAGAAAAACACGCAAGCCTGATCGAAGGACATAAAGGAGTCCTCAAGACTTATTGGAGAATAAGAGAAAATTTCTACTAGCCAGTAATGAAAGAACAGATTTATCAATACATCCTGAGATGCGACACTTGTCAACAGAAAAAATTATCCAGAATAAAAACTAAACAACCCATGGTAATCACCGATACACCGTCCGACGCTTTCGAAAAAATCTCAATCGACACCGTAGGGCCACTACCTATGAACGCAAAAGGCAACGTACATATCCTCACTATACAGGATAATTTTACAAAACATTGCGCAGCTATAGCAATACCGGATATCAGGACCCAAACGATTGCAGAGGCCCTGATCAATCAATATATTTGCCTATACGGATGTCCGAGAACGATCTTGTCGGATAGAGGAACATCATTCACCTCAAAACTCTTAGCAAAAATGTCAGAAATATTAAAAATAAGAAGAGTAACAACTTCGAGATACTATCCTCAAGCTAACGGATCACTGGAGAGAAGCCATCAAACTCTTGTCGAATATCTCAGAGTGTTTGTCGAATCCTTCTCAGACTGGGACGAGTACTTACCCATGGCCATGTTTAACTATAACACCTCGGTCCATAGTGGGATAAAATTCACGCCTCATGAGTTAGTTTTCGTTAAAAAGGCTCGCGCTCCAACCGAATTCCCCGATTACGAAAAAATCGAAACATATCCCGATTATCTGATTGACCTAATGAATCGATTAAGTTATACTCGGAGCGTCACTCGCGATTCACTTGTCGAATCAAAATTAAGATCTCAAGAAAGATTCGATAAAAATTTACACCCAATAGATTTTCAAGTAGGAGATTTCGCTTACAATTTGAACGAAACTTGGAAAAATAAACTCGATACCTACTATAAAGGTCCTTTTGAGATCGTAGAAATTACCGATAAGGGCTGTCTCATATTAGAACTTCCCAATGGAAAACGCATAATCAAACATCCCAGCAAACTGAAAAGAGCTATTGAATAAAATAAACACACTCCTGTTACAGACGATCCCGTCCACACCGAGTAACACGATACAAAAAAAATAATATAAGAAACATGCGGCTACTCCAAGTCAACATATGCTGCCTACTCATCATCCTTGTGGAATCAGGTCAAGACGCTCTAATAATTCAACCGGCTTCATCCAACCCAGGGATCCTATATGAAAAATACAAAACTATCCATCTAATAGAACGAGAATGGAAAATAGTCTACTATAGACGTCGGAACCATCATCAATATATCTCCTTGGCAAGAGATGTTATCACACGGCGATAAGGAAAGCCGCCAAACTTGTCTATCATACTTCTCTCCCCCGGAGTGCGCAATCCTGGGAAAAGAAGCTATATTAAAAGACTTAGAAAGAGACAGAGAGGATGTAATCAATCGATTAAAACAAAATCTAAAACAAGCAGACAGTACTACATCAACTAAAATCCGAAACTGAAGGACGCCCTGGTTTGGATTCGTAGGATCCATAGCTCGAAAAGCCTTCGGACTTATGGATTACGGCGATCACGCACACATTTCTCATGAAATAGACAAATTATACAATGACCAACGAGAGATAACAACACTCGTAAACAACTCAACGCATATAATAAAATCAGAAATAAACAAAATCATCTCCGATCAAAACAACACTAAGGCCAGAGTCGCCCTGCTGTCCAACACAATCAATAGCTACGCCACCAAGGTCGGGAACGAGATCGAGAAAATGAAACTACGTCTACATTTTATGCAAAGAGCCGACGAAAGAGTACAAAAAACGTCGAGTCTATTACGCTACCTCAAGGAAGCTGAGTACGCGATAGAAGACGCTAAGAGAGGGGTCGTCCCAGGAGGAATTCTTTCACCAGATCAACTGAGAAATGCAACCAGAGATATTACAACACGTTTTCCCCACCTAAATCCACCTCAACCAGTGGACCACGTAAATCTCCAGATCCTATCCAACATCGCAAAGGTGAACACAGGAAGAATAGATAATAAATTCCTAATTATAATCACCCTACCGTTGTTGAACCAAATCACATTCCAACTCTATCAAATAAGACCTATACCTGTCCCTCAAACAATCGGAGGAGCCATGAGGAGCCTGCTGATCCGGCCAAGCAAGGATTATTTCGCAATAGACGCCTTACAAGATCAATACTTTTTAGCGGACTCGGAAACCATCAAAAATTGCAAAACAATTTCAACAGACATAGCCTGTGAAATTAACGTCCCCCTCAAATCAATAAAAGACAACACAGAGTGCGAACTACAGCTCTACTTAAAGCCAAACAACGAGATAATAAAACAATGCGACGTCCGAATATGACCTAAATGTTCAACACAACTAATAAAATTACATCGATCGAATTCCTGGGCTTATTCCACCTGTAAGCCAGAAAACTTTATAACAACATGTGACTCAAAAATACGCATCGAACACCAGATCCATGACTCGGGCACCTTCACCTTATCCCCCGGCTGCGTCCTGACAAATAATCATCTTGCAATCAAGGGGAACGAAGAAGAAACAGACACAATCGGTATCTTCGCCTTCCCCACCATAAACTTAACACATCTGGTGACTAACCTCACCGAAAAACCAAAACCACCTCATCTGCTGACAAACATCGCCGAAGAACCAGTAGGGGAAAATACCCTACTCTCTCCATGGGGCGACAGCCTCGAAGGTAACGAGAACAGACTCACGAGAATTGGACTTCACCATCAAGAAGAATCAAAGCATCGGTACATCACAATCGCAAACACAGGCGCAGTGCTTTCAATTATAACATCCCTCGCACTTTTCTTTGGATATTATTACTATGGTTGTTGTTGCAACTGCCTCCAACCTCTGCAAAAATTTAAAACAAGGAAACAAAAATCGTTCCAAGGAAAGACAAACGAAACATTCGAACTCACGGACACAATTTCAATGTACCCAACTCGACCAGGATCCCCAAGACCAGCAAAACACCAACAGAGTCTACCAGGAGTTCACGGACAACAGAAAATAACACCAACGCCATCCCGGACCAGCATTCGACTCGCCGACTACGACTACAACTAAAATGAATAAAAATTAAAAACAAGACAGAAAATATCTCTGTAAAAATTACATTTATATCTACATATATTCTTCATTTTTTTTATATATTATTATTAAATAAATATTAGAATTAAGCACATACATCTTACCTATATATTTTATCCCCGAGAGAAAAAGAAAAAGGGAGAATCAATAACAATGAAAATTTAAAGCATATTTTTATTTTTTTTATTTATTATTATTATTATTATTATTATTTTTAATTCTGTTTTTAATTTTCCCCCCTCTTCTTTCCCTCTATAATACAAATTTTATGTAATAAATAGCAACCTGCAATATAGAACGCAGCAAATTAAACATAATATTTCTATTGTTTCAAATTAGTACAAAGTAAGTCATCTGTCGGCGGTTGAATGACTAAAAGATCCAACACATAAATCAATAAGAGCTCTTATTCAACCGCGGCAAACTAATTACCATACAAGGAGCGATGGTAATGAGGAACAGTAGCCAAACTAGTGGACTTCATTACCACTGATCGCTAATAACCCCCACACAACTTATCCATAATACCGCGTTCCCTCTAATCTTCCCAGCGGTTAAATACTAAATTAATACACAAAATTTTTTTTGTTTTGTTTTGTTTTTTTACGATTTAATAAACTAATGTAATCTACGCTTCCCCCCCCCCCAAAAAAAAAAAAAAAAAAAAAGAAAAAAAAATATATATTTACCTCGATAAATCAAATAAGTAATAACACTCAAATAATTAAAAAACTATGACTATTACTATTAATTGACTAAAACAGGTTTAATAAATACAAATTTTTTTTCTCCTTACGAGTCTTTATTTTTTCTAATTAATATGTTACATATCCAAATGAATAGGATATTTTATATCTCGGTATTCTATTTCACTACGTTGAACTGATTAAAACACTATAGCTCTCTTTCTCTTCTTATATCCCCTCTTCAAGGCTCCCATCCAATCCTCTTACGTCCTTGTCACTCCTCAGTGGGCTCTAGCAAGTCAATGGAAGGCAGAAAATTCCGCTCAGCAAAAATGCCATATCCTACAAAAAAAATATATATATATATATATATATATATATATATATA